TTAATCGCTGGCGCTGGCAACAAATTGTCGTCGTTTATAGCAATCCGAATCGTAAATTTATTTATCTTTTTTTTTAAAGGTAAATTTACTAGTTGCAAGGGTAATGCCTACTATCTACGCGTACGTATCTATGCCCGCTGATTTAAGATTGTAGATGACGGTAGAAACATTCTTTTTTCTCACCTTGCAGATGGGTATATCGGTATAAGGCATTCGAAATGTTCTGCAATTTGGTAGAGGACAGGCATAGATTTTGCCCATTATATCCATTTGATTTTATCTTCCGATGATTGTCACACGTTTTACCCTCTTTCCTGGAAACTGCGAGCAATATTGCTTCGCTTCAGTTGTCAATTGTGAAAGGTTAAACCAAAAAAAAATTGAACAAAGTATTATTTATCTTTTACTGGCATTTTAAAAGCTTCCTTGAGATTAACCGAAATAAATATTTTTTATAGGTATTCAGCGATTCGAAGGATTCCTGATCAACAATAGGAAATCCGTCCACTTGAGTTTTGTGATGATTAGAGAAAATGACTACCTTTCTGCTGCAAAGAAGGTTTTACTAAACTTGCTTAAATTTCTTGCCATGAAATTTAATCCAATAAACGCCTTAATTTGATTTCGTTAATGGACCAATAATCTGGGGGTTTTCCAGGCTAAAGAGCTAGATATATATCAGCAGAAGAAGGCAGGCACTGCTAATGGACGTATTTTACTCGATCTTGATCCTGAAGATATATATTATTTCTTTCTTGCCGTAAATTTTTAGCATTCTTATTATAGCTAAATACGATTTTTTTTTGTTTTTGCTTTATCCTATCCTTCTTCCAAAAATGATTCTCAACAAAACTTAAAAAACGAGGCTTTGTTTTTGATAACATATTTGTTTGCACCAACATACAAGAATCCTACGACGGTTCGGCATAAATGATTGAGCTTACGAATACGATCTTTCCAGCCTGTCATGTGTTTTCTGGTTATAGCCAATGTCTTGTTGTGACTTCATTCTTTTGACGCTATCCATCAAAAAGCTTGACATTTAGCGAGATATGTAGCAATACAAGTAATGGATAACGAAAAAGATGTCTAATCGTCGTAAGCGACAGTGCTTCAAGATGATATCCATGAATGCAAATGGTATCATAGTTCCGAAAGGTATACTTATTTGGGATTCGACCTGCTCAGTCTATATAACAATCTATTTCAGATAGAAGTGGCTGCTCAAAAATAAAGTTTTTTTTAACATTTATAGTCAGTAATAGCGATATAATAGAATTATGAAAGCCCAAATTTGGTGAGGATTTTACGATTATTCCCTAATTTTATCAACTGCGTTACTAAATTTTTCTGAAATTTCTTGCTGTGCTCAAATATGGGTTGGAATTTCATATACTCTTTTCTGCTGCTTCATAACTGATTATAAGATTTTTCGGAGATTAATATTTCCTCAACCAGTTGTAATTTTGTGATTAAGCAGCTCTGATGCATTCAGTTCTTAAATCTAAAAAATGGACCAATCTTCAACACATACGCGGTTAATGCGGCTAAAATGATAAGGTGAATATTCTTGTCTGCAGTACCGTTGTATATCCTCCAGCATATATCCAATCGAACCCATCAATTAGAAAAGGATATCAGTTGCCGATATTTGAAATGATGATCCTTTCCTCCTAATAGGGTGAATATTTGTTCAACGTACTCAGATTCTGGAATATGGCTTAATTAGCACGTAACTCTTAAGTCGTTACCAAATGGTAATTTTTCCCACATCAACGAATACACATTCGAAGAGAAAAGGCTACAGAAAAAGCGGAAGAACAGCCTTTTTCAGAATTTTATTAGTTTCTTATCAGTTTCTTATCACTTATTTCACACTTGGCAGGCCTTTCAATTATGCCAAGGATATTGAGCCATTCTTCATAGTAAAGTCAATTGCCAAGGATATCGCTTCATTATAAACTGTACTAGGAAGTACCTCATTCTCATGAATGGTTCGCTAAGAAGACGAATTTTTTTCTGTTTTAATCGAGTAAATGATCTCCATATTTAAGTCCATATCATTTCTATAGATTATTCTGATATTCATATGCAAACTTTTGATGCACTTTAATTAGGATTTTCTAATTTATGAGTATAAATTTAGCCATAAATAATCATTGAATAAAGGTTCAGAATTTCTTTAAAATTCAAAATCCTTCAGAACTTCTAATATTTTCATAAACCTATTATCCATAATTACAGGCATTACAAATAGGTCTGATCAATGTTCATCAGTGGTTCCTACTGACTTCCATGGTAAGATATTTTACAATTTTCATATCCAAGATACATCTTTTATTCTGTTATTAATTAAATTCATTGCACAAGAAAAAATTCGTACTGAGAAGTACCAAAGATTTTTAGGACTTAAAATATATCGACATGGAATTGTTTCGTCATAATCATGCTCGATTTATTGCATTAGATATTACCAATCCAAATTCCACACTACGAAATATGCAATTCAATTTCACATCATTCATCGATTACATTAAAAAATCTTGGAATGAAAAAATGCCTGGGAGCAAAAATTTGAAAATTGTATTTTTTATGGTTTATTTTTAATTGAATTTTGATGATTGAAGAGGGATTGTGGTACCAATAAAGGATCTGATATTTAGAATTTGAAATTAATAACGGATTCTATTAGATTAACTCGCTTTTTAGAAAAGTTAAAAGATTTTACGGTCAACTTAGGGCTCATTTTTGATAATTTTGATAATATTTGGTAGTTTTGCAAGCAGATTGGTTTTAAAAAAACTGCTTCTTATCTTTAGTCGGAATCGATTCTTCTCTTTGATGCAGTAATGCTTGCGGCAAAGTCAATAGATATTTTAACTCAAAATTCAGTCGTTAATACACGATGTCGAACGCCAACTCGTTCTTATCAACCTTATCAAAGCGGCATTCAATATATCGCTAGGATAAGGAACACAGTAGCATCTTTTGGATTTTATTGTATTTTATCTAAATATATTTCATATTATTATTTGCAAAATTATTTATTATTATATGTTTTATATTATTTTTATAAAATTGAAGAAAGTCTCTCTTTCTTTAGCCATTTTTTTCCATTATTTTTAGGTTGAGAAAGTGTAAATCTTACAATCATTTTTAACAAAAATTGCCAAGCGAAATTAGCAACTAGAAATGCCTTCTTACGTCTGGTTGATTTCATTCCTATGCGGAATCGTTGCAAAAAACACTATCAAAACGACAGTGTATATGTACCACCTTGTTAGTCACAAAATTTAGCCAATGAGGGTGGAAGACTAAGAACACATTTGATCAAATGCAAAATGCAGTACAAATATCCTCAAACCTAGTCTTAGGCATTACATCGAATCGAGTAGAGATGACCTAACGGTGTAGCCAGTGTAGTCAGCCTAGTCACTAATGAAGTAAGTTGTAGTTTAGAAGTAGAAGATTTAGAATAAATTAAATATTCCGGATTGTCAGGAAAGTTTATTTAGTTTTCGAGAAAGAAAAATTCTAAGTCTGTTTTCATGCAATAGACAACCTTTATTTAGGTGAATCAAAAATAATCGTCACCCATCTTTGGAGACCTTTAACTTGGTAAAATATTCATTAAGATATTATTTTGCTATACAACAACTTACTACCATATTGCATAGCGTAATGATCTCATTTTTTCAGAGCTCTTTATAGGTTTTTAGATGAAAAAATTTCTGAGATGATTGTTTTTTGCTGATAAAAAAAGGATAAAAAGCAAACTGTGTCCATATATATATAATAGGGATAAAATGACCAAGTGCGTTGTTGCTCAATTGGGAGAGCCGACGCTGAGGTTCTCCACAAGAGTAAACCTATATAAAAATCCTGGTGATGTTCAGCTGTATTTCTATCGTCAAGGGATTCCATGGCATATTGCCGAATGGCCAGTGGAGCGAGTTTAACCAGTAATGGTGAGGACTCTTTAAAAAAAAACAAAAATATGCACTCCGTTGAATAAAAAAGATAGTCTCCAGCGGACATAGACCTGTCAAACTGCAAATTTTTTTCAGATAAATATATTTCTGCTAAAGACAGGAACCAGTTTTGGTGACAATTTGAAAGCTCTTTTTTGCATGTTAACGTTTAAAATCTTTTATTTCACCAACATTTTAATAAATGTTCAATAATGATATTGCTTTAAGACATTTCATGGTTTATCGGGAGATTTGGGACGTATCAATGAAATTCGCCCGCAATATAATTTCTCATTTCGCATAAATTATCTCTCCTATGATGGAATAATCGATGATAAATCCATGGTTTGCTTACAGCTTTAGAATTACAAAAAGATAATGAATGATATGATATAAAAATTCGGAGTGAATATTAACTAAATCAATGGTACCAACGGCTAATATGCAATATCAGTTTTTTTTTGCACCTTAACGAATTCGTAGCCTACTAAAATAATGTGAATGGCGCTAATCTAATTGGATCTAAACAAATTTAAGATCTATTTTCGAGCTCAACAAAGCGAACAAGGCAACACGTCTCGAAACTCTTTAAATATGCAAAGAAATGTTCTATTCTCGGACGAACTTAAACCTCATTTTCGAGTGACAACAATTCTTGTAAATTTTTCATAATTTTTCTATTTTTTATTCGTAACAATACTTAATATTAATTATTAATCATTCAAAAGTTTCAATATTATATTATTTTTTAAATCACTTCTTATCACCAATGAAGAATTTTATTCTACAAGCAGGCGATAGAAGTACAGGTGAGTTGTCAGCATCTGGTTTTTCGGAGAGGTTTACTCCTGCGGGAAATAGAACCTAAACATCGCTCCGAATTGTGCAACAATCCACAATGCCATTCTTTATCCATAATTATCGGCATAATTAAATATAAATCTAATTTAAAATTATTTGTTTTCTTTGGTCTAATAATCGAGATTCATATTGGCTTGAATGAAGATTATTTAGGAAAGGCCTTATGTGATGATCAAAAATAGTTATCAAGAAGATGAGGAGTTGCAACTTGAAGGTTTTTGCATTGATCTTCTTGCTCAATTATCGCATGATCTAGGTTTCACCTATACGATAAATCTTGTGAAAGATAAAAAATATGGCATTGATGAATATGGAAATGGTTCATGGACTGGCATGATCGGCGAAATATTAAGAGGGGTGAGTGGAATTCTAAATAATTCAGAATCGAATCGTTATTTATTCGAATCCATTTAATTTGATTTTAGTATTTCATAAATTTTAAAAATAGCTCATTTTCATTTAGTCTCGAATTGAAGTTTAAAATTAAAAAATTTTCATTTTCATTTGAAAAGAAATTTATTTTATTATTATTATTTTTATTATTTTTTTATCAAAACTGATTATCAAAACTGATATTATTATCAAAACTGATATCGGCTCAGATAGCTATTGGATAAAGTTTCCGGTAAAAAAATTCAAATTTTTGTTTGATCAGTTTTTCAAATCAGTTTTTTTTTTTTTCAGGAAGCGGATATTGCGGTTGCACCTTTAACGGTGAATTTTAAGCGATCTGAAGTTGTTGATTTCACGAAACCGTTTTTATCGATAGGCATAAGCATCCTATACAAAATTCCCCAAACAAATAAACCCGAATTATTTTCATCTTTCAATCCATTAACTGTTGAAACTTGGATATGCTTTCTTTTAGCTAATAGTTAAAAATTCATTTTCAATTATTGCTAATATTTTTAAAACATTGTTTTATTTTTATTTTTTTTAAAATTTATTTTCATAATTATTCAAAAATTTATTATTCACAATAATTCGTTTATTTCCCTTCTTCCAATAAATTAGTTCAATTAAAGTTGGATTAATCTTTGCGATGTATGTAATTGCACGAATCACTCCATACGAATGGAATTTGAATTTTTCTTGTTGCACAGCTCATCAACCTCATCCATCAGCAGAAATTGTACAAATGGATACATCACTTCAATTGGCTAATAATTATAGTTTCTGGAATTCAATATGGTCGGTGAAATTTGCTTATCATTATTACAAATTTATCACAGATTTATTATCACAGATTTTTTTCTTATTTTTTTCTTATCATCAATCATATTTACCTTAAAAATCGGCTATTTTTTATCTTAATTCATTTTAGATATTTTACGTTTAAGTTATTTTTCCAAAATTATGGAAAATTATGAAAGGTACAAAATGTAAAGGCATTTAGAGGATCGTTATTTATAAAATTTTTTAAAATATCGCGTAGAATAATAAAATCATTAAACAGGTATGTTCTAAGTACAATGTTGAAAGGTGGTTGCGATTTTGGGCCAAGGGCTGTTTCAACACGATTACTTGGCGGAACGTGGTGGGTTTTCACGCTTATTATTATTGCTGCATATACAGCTAATCTTGCCGCTGTATTAACAGTATCAAAACAATTTATTTCGATCAAAAATTTGGATGATTTAGCTAATCAATCAAAAATTGCATACGGAGCACTCGAAGGTGGCTCAACAATGCAATTTTTTCAAGTAAGGTCTTATTATAATCAAACTATACGATTGATAAGATTGATGAGATGATAGATCGTTTATTTAAAATTATATTTTATCGGAAAATTTCACTAAAAAATTACTGAATCTACACAAGCCAAGTCGTTAGTGATAAAGCTAATTTGACGTAATTTAAGGAATCAAAAATCAACAGTCACATGAAAATATGGAAATACATGAAAAGTCATAATAATATATTCATGAAGAGTAATGCAAAAGGAGTTGAGAAAGTTCTTAATGAAGATTACGCTTTTCTAATGGAATCAACTTCATTAGAATATGAAGTTCAACAAAATTGTAATTTAACTCAAATCGGAGGTGTTCTTGGATCGAAAGGCTATAGCATTGCGCTTCAGAAAAGTTAGTTCCAACCTTTAGATAATTACGATTCATTTAAAATAAAGAATTCATTAGTAACCAATTTTTTTCTCTAAGAATACTTATCGTTTAGGTTTGCGCATTTTCAATTGGTTTTGTCGGACTACTCTAAATAATTTCGTCTAGAAACACCCTTAGGAATTCGTTTGTAACCAATTTTCTTTCCTATGAATATCTATCTATTACTACTCACTGAGTAGTTTGAAGATGTCTTACTCTTACTCTTGTAGCCATCGAAGCCAGCCAAACCAGTAATGATGAAAGCTGTTAGATGAAGAAGAAGAATTTTCTTTGCTAAGAATATCTAGTTAGAGGCTTTCTTCACTGATTTGTCCGATTAGATAAATTTCGCTTAGAATTTCACTCTTAATTTCAGATGAGTTTACACTTGGATTTTTTGAAGATAATTTGATTTCTACTGGGAATAAAACTTCAATAAGTTCGAAATGGAAATCCACTAAATCGAATTTTTTCAAATTATTAAACTAAAAAATTATTATTAATTATTATTTAGAATCACAATGGACGGACAGAATCTCGAAGCAAATCCTTTATTATGCTAAACAAGGAGTGTTAGAAATGAAGAAAACGAAATGGTGGCGAGCACGGTTCGAATTATTATTATCCATTATTTCCTATTTATTTGTATTAATTTAGAAATATATAAAAATTTAAAAAATATAAAAATTAGAAATTCGAGAATTTTAATAGGTATATTTTTTTTTAAGGTGAAGCTTATTAAATTTTGAATTTTAGAGGAACAGATTGTACCAGAATCAATTCACCCGTTACTCAGAAACGGGTCGCCCTAAATTTAAATAATATTCGAGGACTTTTTATTGTATTATTTGCCGGTCTAGCATTAGCTTATCTTATCGTCCTAATCGAATGCTTTCTTCGTTGGTATAAACGCTATGGAAATAATAAAACGGTTTTTTTTTTATTTTTATCTATTTCAAAATTGAATTCTCTTACAATAATTTCAATATTTTTTTTTAAAATTTTTGTAAATTTCCGAACAATAATTCTCATATGTGAATATATCTATTAAATTTTTTAGATCGAATTTCGAAGCCAATTTTGGAAAGATATGCGAGAAATATTAAGGAATGGTGGAGAAGATATATCTAATAACAGATGATAAAATTATCGAAAAAAATTTATCATTTATCAAGAAAATTTATCAGAGTTATGCTTTGAGCATGCAAAATTCGTGTTTATTTTCATTGGGAATTGGAAATAGATTATAAAACTTCAAAATATGCGCAAAATGAAGGTATATATATATATATAATGGACATGTTAATAACTGTAAATTAAGAATATATTGATAATTTAAAATATTTGATAAGAGACCTCACATTTCTGATAAAAATAGGACGTGAAAATATCATCATTCATCCATGAAACCATGAAATATTAATAAAAGAGGATTACTATTATGAGAATTATCCTTCATATGCAGATCAGAATCTATATCACTTATTGATGAATATTCATTAAAATGTCGAGATTTCTTCAAAATCTTTTTTCCTCTTGGGTTTATCCGCCTGTAATCCTCTATATTTATATTATATTTCTTTGCTTGTATTCCTTTCCCTTCCTTCCATTCCTCTTCCTCTTCCCCCTTCTCACCAATGCATGCCACTGTTGATTCCACTAACATTGGTCAAAAAATAACATTGCGACATATGGTGTCATTATCACTATATGAATTAAAATTTTTGTGACAATTCACACCTATTTTCGCTCCTATTGATTCATTCTTATCAGGAGAATCGAGTTAATGAAAACATTACAATTGACCATCACAGCTTATCATTTTGCATTATAAAAAAAATTATAATGTTAGTAACAGCAATTATAATATCATCAATGATTCGAATTAACCCTAAGTGGACGTTTTTTTCATAGTTATTATCATTATTATCATAAATCATATATCATTTGTTTAAATTTTTACTTCCACTGTTTATTTTTTTCTTAATAAATTAAAAAAATAAAATATACAAAAGTATGAACCCAGCCACCTGTATTTCTATTCCTATTTCTTTGCTGAACAGACCATTCATACGCATATTCCATGCATATCGTTCCTTTGATCCAGTAGTACAAATAGTAATCCGGTGGAAAAATGCAAATGATGGTGATGAAGTAGGAAAGCTGAGTAACCACCGACACGTCGAAATAGCTGCTTGAAAGGTCATAACACAGATAAAAACTTGTGACAATGAGGGTCACGCGATAACTGTCCATTCTATTCAAATTTCGCACGGATATTATTTGCTTAATAGAAACCAGTTTTCACCAATGGTTGTTGAGATGCAGCTATTACGCTTGGGTTAGAGTAGTGAGGCGCAAAGGTGCTGGTCAAAGATACTGGTTCTATATTCTCACTGATAAATTAGAGGCGAAAAGCATATATCAACTGTTATTTATCAAAAGACTCCATAAGCTTTGATAATATTTAATTTTTTCAAATATATAAAAATATTTCTGATAAATTAATATATAATATATACAAATTAATAAAAAAGAAACAAAAAATAAAGCACGTGAGGTACAAAAAAATAAGCATGAGCCATCAACAAAGAACCGATTTAGCATTTAACCCTTAAAAATAAAAATAAAGAAAAAAGAGAAAAAGTATGCCTATTTACTTAATTTTGAAAAAATTCTGTCCCTAACCTTTAGGAATGCCTAGTTTACTGGAAATGAACCACGATTTTGATCTATTTAAATAATCTTAACATTTTGATCAATGGCAACGGCTATAACAGGAAAGACGAAAAGAAATACTTAAACATTTTATATTTACTATTGGTACCAATCGAATCAGATGAAAGCTTAATAAAGATTTCAGCTAATCGTTCTCACCTCTGACTAACCGTCTTTATTATATAAACCAAAGACAGCAGAAAAGAAATTTTTTCAGAAATATATCGAAGAAGGGAAATATGTTATAAGTTAAAAGTCACATAAATATGCGAAAAATCGAAAAAACAGTTTTACCGGTTAGAAAAAAAGCACATATACGCAATGTTCACTAATCACCGGGAGAACGAAAGCGCACTTAAATATTCGATATTTTATTAGCACCGATTGACACCGAATCAGTAGAAACGCGGCTTATCTTTACTTTCCTTCGCATTATCATTTAGATTGAATCGATTCCTCATTGAGTTTAAAATTTTTAATTCAAAATTATATTCCATTCCCATAATCTCTTCAATAAATATTTTAGCATAATCGTACACTGTAAAGCTAATACCAACAGCAATTGGACCCTGAAAAATAATTTAAAAAAAAATAGCTAATAAGCTGCTGGAAATTATTATGTGGCAATGTGATAACGAGGCTGGCCTGAAATTAAACCGAATTTCGAATCATGCTCACCTTAACCCAATTCATGCTAAGACCTTTATAAAGACCATGACGAATTCCTTCATCACGTCCTATTCGATATAAAGATACAAACATATTTTGATTTTTTCTTATAACTCCCGTCTGCATTCTTCGACGAACGATATCAAGAGGATATGAAGAAGATTGACCAATAAGTCCAGCAAACGCACCAAAGATCATGCGATGTAATGGAGTGATTGGTTTACCCGTTTTTTCTGCAATTTATTTCGAGAATTGGATAGTTGCTGATAAAAATAGTAATTCTTATCATGGAGTAATAACGATGAATCAAAATAAGAACTATTAAAATGCAACGATCTAAATAACATAAAAATTTTTCTAAATAGCCAACTTCATTAATTTTTTAAAAAATGCACTGGATTATTTGAAAAAAAAATTTTGCTTATAGTTAAATAGTTCAAATTAGATCAACAATAAGATTAGATTGATATTTATTAACGCAATACCTGCATAATAAAGTTTGAGAGATTCGTATGTGAAGAAACTAGCACCAGCATATGGTGCTACACCCGCTAATGTAGGAAGAAGACCACTATACAAAGACCTGCAAAAAGAAAAGCCTTGAGAGATTCAGATGTGAAGAAACTAGCACCAGCATATGATGCTAGATCATATTCTATCTAGGAAAGAAGATCATTTCCAAATTTTGTCTTAAATTTACCATAACATTAAAAATATATGAAGAAAAATTAACATTAAACCGGATGTTCGATAACTTTTAACAAAAATATCATATAGAGAGCGATATTCAGCTACTTTCGACGTTGCTAATATAGCTTTCGACGTATCTAATGGATAAGTAAGGATGGTTGCAACAGTTCCTGCCAATGAACCAGCAAGACAACGTTTTGCAGGAGTTCGATCTCTGAAAAATCAAAAAGGACCGATTAAAATGTGGATAATTTTCTTCAGTAATAATTCACATGCAATTCATGACTAGAAGATTGCACCTTACTAAGTGCTTAGCTGATAAATTATAATGGATTTAATATCAAATAGCCTAATTATTAAACAGGAAAGCAGAATGGGTCAGTGGGTTGTTGTTGAGTTCGGAGAGCCGATGCTGATCTTCTACTTTCCACTTTCCCCGCAAGAGTAAAGAGTAAATCTGTGCAAAAATCTAGGCGACACTAACGATTCACCTGTACTTCTATAGCCAATGGGATTTTCTGGCATATTTATCTCAATACGATAAGCGAACAGCGAGCCGGTCTAGCCAATAATAATTTCGCAAATTTGAATTTGAACGAATAACAAACCCATTTTTATCGACACGCAAAATATGCTTGAATTGTTCATGTGTTGCAAATTGTATTGATGCATATGGTATAACTCGTGCCATTGTAGCCGAATTACCCCGCCATAACGAAAAAAACCCCGTTGATTTGTAAGTTGTCTTGATAAAACGAAAAGCAGCCTTAAAAGAATACCCGCGCGTACTTGATACTGTAAATAATTTCAAAATAGGCCAAAAGATAAAAAAAAAAAAAAGAAAAGATTTATTCTCCAGATGAATTTTTTAAGTAGGGCAAAGCCTAAAGCTTAGCCTAGTTATCCATATTATCCATATTATACAAATATTATACAAATATTCAAAATAATATGACAAAATAAAGTAATAAATAAAAAATATCAAAGATTATTTAGGCAAAGCCTTGGCTTAGAAAGCCAAACTGAGGGAGTATTATTAGATTATAAGAAGTTGTATAGTACCATTAAAAGTATAATAATAATCTTTTAGCGAAAAAAAAGCATACTTTGAAAGTTGATTTTAGTACGATCAAGAGGAGCGATAGTTGTTTTTGCTACTGCACCAGCACATGCGCCAGCCAATATTGCACAAATCGTTGAACGCAACGGATTCAACTCCTAAAAAAAAAGATAAATTTAAGAAAAAAAACATCTTTTCACTATTGAATCACTTCATGAAAAATTAATTATTTCAGAAAATTTCCGAAAAAAAAAATTCTAAAAGATTTTTTTTTTATTCCTATTTGTTCCACAAGACTATTGACATGTGACTATTGAATATAGCACTATAATACCTTCTATTTTACTACTTCTATTTTATTTTTATAATTTTTTTTATTTTAATGCCTATTTTTATTTTTTAAAATTTTTTCTTTTATTCAAAATGTAATAATAATAATATAATAATAATAATAATAATAATAATAATAATAATAATAATAATAATAATAATAATAATGGTAGCAAACCCAATAAATTTAAAATATTGAGAAAATCTTTGCATTACACACAACTCCGTCATAACTTTGTTTAAATATAAATATATATGTATATATATACTACTTATAAATAAATATAAACATAATAAAGATCCAAAATAATAAAATAATTAAAAATAATAAATAATAAAAATAATAAAATACAATAAATATCCTGAAAAAATAATAAAATATAATAAATATAATAAATAAATAAATATCCTAAAAAAATAATAAAAATATGTAAACATATATATGAATACAATGAGATATATATGTATATAAAATAAAAATATCTCAAAATAAAATATATAATAACCATAAAATAAATAACAAGGATATATAAATATATATTTATAAATGATAAAAATGAATATAAATATTATTTATATATATATATATATATAT